ATACTATTACACGAYGTATAAATGCATATTAAAATTGTGCTATAACTGCAATATATATCATGTAATATAAGTAATATAAYGCGAATGTACGAATTAATAAGACTCACGCACCGGTGTATATAATATTTGGTTTTAGTGTCTTTGACAGACCACACTGCATGTACACGGTGTATTATAATGTTCTTCCATAAATTATGAACGGGCCCGAGAGTTCTTATACCTCCTATATATAGGTTAGGGACCACCTAAACATGAACACTGGTTGTACATATCGTCTGGCTGCGCGTAAGCCTCAAATTTCTYACCTTGAACTCTGACCCGGTTGATTTTTAAAGCGTTATATTATTTTACTATTCGATAAAAGTCAAATGAACAGTTATTATAGGCACATAGGAGCATCTGAAATAAAAATTTTTTTTTTTGGGGGGGGGAGCTATAGTCCCAAACAAATTTATTTACTGTAACAAATTACATTATAATKTTATAATCAAAAAATAAATATAAATTATTTTTATAAAATATTCTATTTATTTATATTTTATATTCGTCAACATTTTAATTTGTTATACTTTCCTAATATATCATTATTATTTATATTATTATTTACTTTTTTCCAATTACGAAATCCAGTGACTGTCCACGTTTCTTCTTGATTACCACTACCCGATGCAAACAACCGAAAACAATAACAATAAGCAACATCGAGGTGGAAAGTATAATGTATTATGTTGGTATGCATTATCTTTGAAGCAAGTACAAGAAAATCCTCTTTTTTTTGTACCTATATTAGTGTTTTAGAATATACCTTAAAATTAATAGAAAAATGTTTAAAATAGAATTCATTAAAATTAAAATTTTTCAAATAGCAAGTTATATCTTACAGTTGATATTGGTTGTTTTGGCCTTCTTTCAATACCACCTAAATCAAGAATAATGCCTTTATTGGATTTTTCAGCAAGACCAATCTGAGATGGTTCTGTTGTAGGTTATTTTATTTCAATTTGATCAGTTGGCTTCGGCTCCAATGTTATGTTTATATTCAATTCATTTAAATCAATAGTTGATTTTGTTCTTATTAAATATGTGAAAAACTTTTTTGTTAGACATAATTAATTATAAAGTTATTTGTAATATATTATACATCATTATAATAATATGTTTATTTTCATGAATTGTAGTAACGAATAACGACAAATAAGACAATAATGTAATGGTAAACAATCCGACCACACGTAGCTTACCCTACCATTGTGAAAGTAAATGTTTTCTGAATATGGGTAAATAGAGATCTAACATCCTGTTGGTTTACGATCTCGTTTCCTATAATATGCAACATAGTCAAAAGACATTATTGTTATCATTGATAACTTCACATTTTTGACAACTTATCAATTATATTTCCCCCCCAAAAAAATTAAAAACTAGAAAAACACTTGACAGAACAACTGTGGGGGTCTATTCGGAAAATTGGGGGGGGGGGCTCTTACCTTCCCCTTAGTAGCGCCTATGATTAGGCATATACATACGATATATATGTACTTGCGTATTATCTATCCTATATACAAATGGCAAGTCGTAAATCAAATACGTTTGAACATGTTACGTGCAATGAAAACAATGATTTGAATCAAAGAACGGCTTTAAATTTTTATTATACACTCTTATAATCTTTAATTAATAAATATTACATATTATATTACATACTGCCGTTGTGCAGAGAGCGCGATATGTTCGCTACGCCGTTCGTATTACTATACTGTAGACCAGTAAGTTACTATAKTGAGAATATCTACGCCTTATCGGAGATATTCATGATAAGCGATGAGCATATCGAACAGAACACTCTGTAGGTAATATGTATATACTGACATTAGTTGGGTTCAAGTTCGACAACAATAATAAAATGAAGAAATTTTGAAACGTTCGTCATTTTTAATTTGTATTTATAAAGGGTCATCTCTCAACTGCACTTGAGCGGTTAAGTGCTAGCGTACTCGTCTGCACTGGAYGATTTTTTTATTTTTAAATCGTACTCACTCCAGAAGGGCCGGTTTCGACATTGCGAAATTTTTTTAATGAACGAAAATCGTGACTGCGACAAATATACAATATACGCTCGTTGTCTGTCGCTTGTGGTGATATATTATAATAATGTTATTGTTCTATTTAAAACATTGTTGTGATAAAATATGACTCTATATTAAGAGGCGAGAAGACTGTAAAATTATGATTTTATAACTATATATGTTATTATATAAACGTAACGATTTTTGATTGTAGACATATAGATGCTATAATTTTTAATATATTGTAACGATATGCTGTTCATAATACACGAGGTGTCATTTTTATAATGTMGCATTATAATATAATGTATATTATGTATTATTAATATTATTATGTGTACTAGTCATTATTATTATTCGGAGTTTCAGGTTTGTGTAAATTGTCATATGTGTGTATTGTGTATATTGTATATCCATACACAAAACCATACTTAGAGCTTAAATAAAAACAATTTAACAAAACATCAACAAATTAAATTTTAGGAATAGAAAAAATTTATGAATTTCAAAATAAATAACTTTATCTAACCAATTAGTAATCTAAACATTTGGTAGGTTTCTTTGAAGACGTGTCTTGCTTGCGTCAATGGGTCATAAGTAATATTAGCAGTAAAATTATAAAAAATTATTATTAATTTAAAGTATTTTACAGTTAATTAAACATTCTTCAAGCTATTTTTACTTGAATGTAGTTTACCATCATGCTAAAATAATACAAATATTTTTGGGGTTGTAAGCCAGTTAGGTTAGGTTTTCCACTCGTGATACACTCTGCAGCGTTACTCTAAATGAGTGGGRCGCACATGGGCTATGTAAAAATAATGACATTTTTTCTTGAGATGCACTCGGTGAACTCTCATTTTCTCATACGTTTTTATTGGTAACTATAAGTATAAGTATGAGATGTTTTGCATTGGGATGTCGCACAAACATGCAACATTCACGTCAAAATGCTATTTTTTTGGCATGTTATATAATGATAATCTGTCTAATGCTTATATTATTATAAAGTAGAATTATTGTGCCACCGCGGAATCGTAACAATACGTTAACCCGAAAATGTGGGGCGCGACGAACAGAAAACAGAAACGACAAAATAATTGACAACCTCCCGGCCGAGAACAAAAAAGAAATAACAATAATAACAACGAAACCGAGGACGTCGTGGAGTTATGATCGTCGTGTATGCGCGAGAATAGAACGGGAAACATAAATTATTATATAGACGGCGGCGGTATATGGAAATCGTTAAAAGTCAACGGCGGGCCTGCATTTCGGAACACCGTGTATGCGTGTGTGTGCTATATTATATTTTATCCTGCATGTGCGTGCGTGTGTGTATGTGGAGCTGGAAGAACGTGCGTAAATCACGCGGCAGTGCGTGTATTATATAGGATTTTATGTCGTCGGGATTGGCATCGGTTCAATTATAATATCTTATTTGGACGGAAAACGGGTTAACGTACATTATTATTATTATTGTATCGGCAGCGTCTTAATTAGACGCGTGTGTGCGCCGTGCCGGTCTAAATTTTTTTCCATCTCGTATGAAATTATATACGAAATCGTAATACCCATCGCCGACGATTATCGTGTCTTCGTCACGGGATTCGTATGCAACGGGCGTGCACCGCGCTCGTTTCGTGACAACCGCATATGGTCGGCGATTCGTTCCACAGTTTCGAGTATTTTATCACCCAAATTACCGTTATAACGAATAAAAACAATATTGTAATACAATATTATTATCACATGTATCTTCAACCCGTACGCTGTATACACGCACGCTCATCATAAATGATATACAACGTAATTACGGGTTATGCGTATGTTTACTGCTGTTGCAGATGTGTGCTGCAATGATGACAAAGATTCGGACACACTCGTACGGTCTCCGAACCTTTCTAAAATAGTCTCCCATTTTTAAAACTTTTTTTTATTGTAATATAATTTCGACGAATTCAATAAATTCGTATGTTTATAGATGGGTTAAAAGTACCTTTAAGAGAAAAAATAAACTAATAAATTGCGTATAAAATTTTATGCAACGTTGTAAAATTTACCAATTTAATCGCATATAAAATAAATAATAATAAATAATAAATACAATGAGGTTAACTAAATAATAAAAAAGTAATTAGTAAACAAATAAAATCGTCAATTATTATTTTAATAAAATTATCGTAAATTCCTTTTTTTATAAATTTTTGAATTTAAATTTCTTGACATCTATAGCCTACTAATTTTAAATATTGAATTACATTTTTATGGATTTTATACTCATCATAATCCTTTATTGTATTTTGAATTCTGTTTAAGCCATTTTTGCCATTTTCTTTACTCTCCTATTGTTAACCAATTGTATAATTGATCTGGTCTTTCAATATTTGAATAACAACATGTGTTGGGGGAAGAGCACTGTGAAATTGTCCATTATCAGTCCTATGAAATCTTTCAGGTCCATTTGTGGTACTAAAATACTTGATAATTCGATTGACAAAATAAGTATAATTTCTTAAAATAAGACCAAAATTTATTCAAAATCAGGTAAAAATGCGAAAAATTCTCAAAAAGTCCATGAAATACAAAATAAAATTTTTGATCTGAGTTTTCTGTATCACAAAAACATTTTTGTGCTAATTTTTAAGCATCTCATAAGAAAAATGTAAATGCTATAAAATCTCAATCTTGGTCATATACCGGTATGAAAATTGGTATGAAAATTGGCATCAACGCCTAAAACTTCGTACGCAATTGGGTAATTAAAAATCAGGTAATCTCATACGGAATCGTTCAGCTTAAAAAGGTATCGCCGATGACGAACGTGTGCAATCGTGTTTTACCCCCGCCAAGACACCTTAGACAAAAGAATTTTACCATCACTGCTGTAGTGTGTGGGGAGACCTTTACCCTTAAAATCTTATTACACCTCAACTACCTAACGGTTAGGTCATCCAGTTGAATGGCGAAGTCATTTCCTATTAGTTTTTCAATTAATTGATCATTGATGTCTTCAGCCATATCTTGTATTCTACGACTAATAGTATTATCTGATAATGGCACATTTTGAAGTTGTTTAGCAGCAGCATCCCCAATCATAATAGACACCATATCCATAGCGGCTGGTAAAATTAGATTTTCAGCGATAGTATGAGGTTTTTTACTCTTTGCTATTCGCCAAGCTACTTTATAGGAAGAAAGTAGTGCTTTAGAAGGAATTGTAGCTTGTTTTGTAAAAATATGTTTTTGTTGAGCCATAGCTTTTAATTTTGATACGAAATAATCACGTGGTTTGTTCACCAAATTTCCATGAACTGTCTCCAAATGGCGTTTCATTTTATTTGGAAGCATACTTTCTACAGCCATTACTTTCAAACAAACAACACACTGGGGATGTTCTACGTTTGCAACAACAGTGCTAGTAAATCCGAAATTCAAATAACTATCCTAGTAAATATTTTCAATATTTGAAATTACTTCTGGATTATCACGTTTTCTACTAGAATTCAAAAACTTATCCATAGTTATAACTACTATTATTACAGAAAAAATACACAACAAATAACACAGAACAAAAAAAGATCGTAATAAATATCGGTCGATATACGTAGCCGTAGCGCATATAACACACTGAATACAAAACAGACAGGCGACAGCGGTGTGCGTTTTACAACTGATAGATTATATTAGAGGCAAATCATTAAGTACCTACCTAATTGTAAATAGTAATCGAAATATGCTATTACTCGATATCGCAAACACGGTTATCGACGGTTATCTCACACATGCAACATGTAATATGTATTGGTGCGCCGAAATTTTATTTTTAGTTTCTATTGCGAACGCGGCTCCCTTGATAATAACCGGCGACGCCCCTGGGAGCCGCGACGCACAGGTTGAAAACCCCTGTATTTGTGTAGGTTAGGTCCTAACCTATACATACAATTGGTTCGGTCAGTTGCGACCTAAAGTGACCTTTTTTCTATTTCATATCTCGAAGATATAATCTATATAATATGATGAATTAATAATTATCAACAAACGTCCATTATTAACATCGAGACCATTGCTCATATTCGACAAACGAAACGGGGAACCGTTTCAAATAGTTTATGCAACACGACCTAACAGTTACTTAATTATCATATATTTATTTATGCCGAGCGTTGAATTTTTAAGTCTTGCGTGTAGATGCAAAGTCCCATAAACATTTGTAAACGTGCATTTTTACTGATTTATTTTTGACTTATCAAAAAGTCTGTGGTCTGAGGACATACTTAGCTGCAGTGTTTATACAATATTTATATATATGAATAGTTACAGTTTCATGATATAAAAATGTGGTACAACATTAAGTTACTTAAATATTTGTGCTTAATATAATTATTTTAATGACATATGCTATTATACAATGGTGTCAACTCTTAAGCAATTGAAATTCAGATTTGCTGTTGAAACTATTTTTTTTTCAGAACGAGAAAATGATACAAAAACTCTCAAAGTACGCGCACTGGATTATTTTCAGATTTGGATTGAGTTTATTAAAATATTCCTGATATTGCATACTATTAATATTATAGTTGCAAGTTGTAACCCTTCACCCTCTCCCCTTCCAAAAGTATGTGCTATTGAACCCATCTCATATTATCATTATAATCTGTATAATATAAATATGAAGTAAATCGAACCTTATATAATACATACATAAACTACATATTTAATAATGAATATTTTGTAATAAAAACAGTATTATTATACATCCAATATCGGCCTAACGAGAGCGTGCATAGACTTTATTGCTACCTATTGTGTATAATATTATTATTTAAACGCACTGCAGAATTATATGAGTGAAATATTTCAATTATTCTGTGGTTAGTATATTTTATGATCGTAAGCTCGTCTTTGATATCACGTTTCTTGTTTCTCTATAATATGTTGTTTCGTACGCATATAATACAAACGGTGAATATATTATTATAATAACTCCCTGTAAAAAAAAAAAAATACTTCAAACTTCAATTTTATATTTTCGCTGAAGGTTCTTTTTTGTAATTAAATTTTTTTTTTTTGTTATAATACTTAAACGTGAGTTTTTTGTATATTTATATGGCTTTTTACATAACATATATTATGGTCGAGGATTACGTTTTGCGTGGCAGTAATGTGGATAATTATTATGCACCAGTTGTACGTTTTCACTATATAATATAAACGTATAGTGTATTTCATGTATAGCAGCGAATGTACAAACCTTTTGTTGTAAGTATTGTATTCAATGATTAAAAGGGTTAAAACAACTGAGAAGATATATAATTAAATTTATCTATACAAATGAATAATAATGTACACCGTATAAGTATAATGCGTTGTGATGCAAAAATAATAGCCAATAGGTTTAAAATTTAGTTCCAAAAAAATGAAAAGAACCTTGAACCATGTTTTGTGTTCGATATTACATTTTATCTTTCATTATTAAACCTGAATACACTCGTATTGTGTGTTTGGTCAATCATCACTGACCATTGTCCATTAGAGCGAATATAAAAATTTCTTTCAGAGGAAGTACATGCAACCCGCAATATAGACATAATAATGAAAGAGACGTGTTGGCGTGTTGCATAAGACTATCGGTTCTTTCAATTTGAAAAGTGTTAAAAGACTACAAAATTACTCATATATATACTTGTATAATATGGTAAAATTGTTCATTATCATAATAGGTAGACATTATTATTTGTTAAATATTAAAAATCAAAAAAAAATATCTGCTGTGTGGCTGTTCTATTTATATAGATGTATATTATGAGTGTACAGTCTATTTTTATTACCATATAATAATATTGCGATTTTAAAATAGTGTTATTTACCAATGTAATATAATTATTATACTATGTAATTATAAGACGGTTTATTAACAAAAAAATTATGTAGGTACTATACTACTATATCTACCTATGAATAATTTAAATGACAACGAATTTACCGAAACAAACGTTATAACATTTCTACAAAAAACTAAACTTTACAACCTTATACTCGTATAATGTATCAATGTATCTTTATTAATGTCAATGTTAACCAATAACTTTAGTTGTTGAGTCTTAAATATACAGGGTGTCCCGTGAGTATTTACCAGGCAGCAGGTTTTTGAACAACTTGAAACTATGTAAAAAAATATTTTCAAAAACATTAGTAATTTTTGAAATAATGATTGTTCAATGATAAAAGAATCACCCGTTACCTATATTATAACATATGTATTATTAATTTATAAATAATTTAATAAAAGAAATAAGTTACAGGAGGCTGATGAGGAAAAAACGCACGCACCAATCAAGTAACCCACACCACTGCAAAAGTGCGACATTCTCTCGTCACTCTTAATAAACTCAACCAACCGGAACCGGAATTCCCCATAAATGCATATTTATATATAACGGTGCAGCTACATAACTTAAATCAGTCTTCATCCTAACCCTCAACTGTCAAAAAGTAATAGTACAATCAGGTGCCAGCAGCGGCATACTTGAAGCGTAGGTATCCCGATTGTTATGTATTATTATATTATTGTCACCAAGTGACATATATAACGGCCATTTTACGACCGATCCACTTAATTGCAGGCTTGCTGCACGTTATCGTTTCTGATGCCCAACCCCGATGACCGTCAGTTTTCAACCAGTTGCACACCAGCGACACACAACCCTGAAGTCGACTCAATGACCAACCGACGAATACCCCACGCCGATTAGGACTAGTCTCCGTGGAACCAAAATTGTCCTTTTCAGGACAACCTCTATATTGTTTAGGTCACACATATCCGAATGAGACTCACGGAACGGATGCTACTTTCATAAGCGGCCCCGACGTGATCAAATCTCGTTCCCCACCCAATTTATGGACATACTACGAGCTAGTATTTATTATATTATATTGAAACACGTTGTTCCCATGTTTGTTCAAGGTTTCGAAGACCGCTATGCCATCGGTCCCCGATTCCTAATTTTTGTATATAATATTATATTTACACAGAAATAAAAGGATTATTATTTACCAAATACCAACGAGTTCATTTTTACGAGACAGCAGCGCATTTAGCGTGCGTGCCGTATCATAGTTTTAAATACATATTATTGATTATTATAAGGTATTAACAGCATGTACAATTCAATTTAATTAGGTAGATAAAATAGATACTTTGGTGAATGATATAAATGCATGTAACCAGGCTGTGCCGTTAAGATTTGGCGCCCAGGGCAAATTAAACCGTTAATACGGTAAGTACGGTACATAAAAAAGCTTTTGTTGCACGAGGTAATTTTTTATATTGTAACATACTTCTATTAACAACTAATATTTTAATACTTTTTTTCATTCCTTTAAATATTTCATATAATGTAAACTCAGATAAAATGTTTATAAAACAATCAGTTATTATTGGTATTAATTTATACTTTACAGCACCAACAAAAAAAGAGGCAAAGGTAAAAATCAGCATTATGGCCCTAAATTATTTTTATGGGTATGATTATTTACGATATTTATTAATTTCTATCTTTTTMATCRATAAATACAYARYATTATTTAATTTCAGCTATGACCATTTCCTTGGAGAACAAGAAGGATGGACATCGCCAAAATAATTAAAGAGAATTCGTTGAAGAACACAAACAATATTAAATTAACCAATATTGTTTAATTTCTTTTTACACCTATTATCCGTCAAACCTACACAGTGACTTGGGCACTCAATGTTTAAGTTATCACTCAATACCTTTATTATTTTCATATTACAGTCTAATTTTTGTCATATATATTATATTTCCAAATTATATACACTATACATTATTGTTATATTGGAAATATAATATATATATGGCTAAATTTAGACTATAATATGAAAATAATAATGATATTGATTGATTACTTATTCATCGAGTTCTTATATATTATTGTGTTGTGACGGTAATCTGTGTAAAAAGAAATGATCGAATTGGTTAGTTAAATGTTTTTATACTTTTTTTTTTTTATTATGTTTTACCTATTCAATCTGTTTCAAAGGARAACAATAAGAATAATTGATGATATAATCTAAGATAAAAATAAAAATAAAAATAATTCATACAATGGCAGATTTGGCGGATTGTAGAGGCCTCCCAGTGGAGGTAMTACGACATGAGTGAGATTTTCTTAGGCTAGGTTATTATTGTACATATATTCACTTAGGCTAGCAGGTCACGACACCACTGTCTTTTTAATCTTTTAGTTGGGTTACCTGGGATAGAAACAGATGATAGGTCAGAGATTAAGGGATTTGTATGGTGGGCTAGGCGGCTATTGAAACGTTTATAATGTGTTTTCGC